GGGGGGGGGAAACAAGAGGGGAAAAAACAGGGTATCAAGTTTCTTCTTTTACAAAATTATCTAATGTCATCAGACAACATTCTCCCGTAAGCCGCTGGTACGCAGCGTAAACTTGGCGTCACCCTGGGCAAACGGCAAGCCTGGCGCCAGTAGTGCGTTCCGTACGGCATCTCCGTTCTGGCTGATCATGTCGCTGTCTATGCTTCCACGAGGACTACTGCCGCCGCCGTCGAGGCTGACAGCAGTGGTGCTCGTCTCGGTGGGCGACAGAAGTGAGGCTGAGGGCGAGGACGGCACGGGTGACGACGGTGAGTGGCGGTGATGTCTGATGCTGGTATCATCGAGACGGCCACGCCACAGACCGCGCACGCCGCCCTTCTTCCGCTCGGGAACCTGGTCTGACCCCGCGCTGCACACGTACAGGAGGTACTTTAGGTTGGGGAGGGTCTGGCGGATATCCACGACGCGGAGACCCTGAGCTGCGCAGAGGGCTTCGATATCCTTGTTCAGCAGGAACCAGCCGTACTCAAACCGCCACTGGTTTGTGGTGGATCCGCCGCGCGGCAGGTGGAGGGGGAAGTCGCGGCGCGGTGAGGCCCCGTGCTCGGCGAGCTGGGATATGTCGTCGCGGATATGGGAGCGCGAGCCGAGCGGGTTGACCGGGTAGGGCAGGGGACAGCCCAGGTAGAACTGCAAGCGGTGCACGGCCAGGGCCACCAGGCCCAGGGCGGCCGAGAGCACGTCCTCGTTGAGGCTGCGGGCGGTGGCGGCGTCGTAGACCGAGTTGGGCAGCGGGACGCCGCATATCTCGAACGACAAGGGCGGTGCATCGGGAACAGGCGTGATGGGGAAGATGTCGCACAGGTCGGAGCAGATGCGCCGGCGCTGGCCGTGGATCTCGCGCTGCGTCTGCTCGGCCAGATCGGCGTCCGTGACGAGCTTGCTGCGGCTGTCGGCCATGTCCCGGGCGGCGCGCGCCTCAAGCTCGCGGCCCCTGGCGATGGCCTCACGCCGGCTGCGCAGCGACGAGTGCAGGTCATCGCGACGCCGCCGTGCGAACCGGTTAGCCTTTTGCTGCCACGCCACGTATCGCTCCGCGAGCTTGGCCTGGTCGTCGGCTGCGTCGGACCTGTCGGGCGGCACGCTCTCGAGGATCTGGTTGATCTGGCGCATGATGCGGACGCGCGTCTCGACAGCGTCGTCGATGGAGCTCTCGAGGTTGGCCAGCTTCATGAGCGTGTTGAACGGCGGCGTCGCCATGGGAGGCGGCGCCTGCCTCGGCTCCGACACGCGGTTCGGGAAGTCGACAGAATACACGCCGTCTTCGAGGTGGAAAACCAGAGCGTTCTCGGGGAACCGCCGGTTAAGGAGCGTGCCGATGAAGTTGAGTCGCCGCAGGTCCATGGCCTCCTCCATGATGAACAGCCACGCAGCGCCCTTGGGCCGTCGAGCCCACACGCGGATGGTCAGCTGGCACGCGCGCGAGATGTGGGCGGCTTCGTCGCCCAGGTCGAAGAAGGAAAAGTTGAAGTTCTAACACACGCGCACATCATCAGCCACGTTCAACCCAATTGATTCGCCGTTGTGTGACGTGTTGCTCTCTTTGCTCGTACCGTCGACCGATGCCGCACCTCGCTCACATACACGGGCTCATCCTGGCCGTCTACGTGCAGCGAGAAAAACGCATCTCCCACCGAGGTATCGGCGAGCTCCTCGAGAACCTTTTGTCTCGAGGCCGGTGTGTTCTGCGACAAGGAGCCTATGCTCAGGCTTCTCCTCCGCGGGAGCGGTCGTAGTGCCAGTGCCTCGGAGGAGGCAGCCGTGGTCGCAGCGGCGTGGGGTCCACCCAGACCACCTGTCCGCAGGTTCTCGGAGCTGCGCGACTGCTGCAGCCGGGAGGACGTCTGGTCCCCTGTGGACTCGTGGACTGCCTCGAGACGAGACGGTCTGCGGAGACGTGAGCTGGCGCCGCCGGCGCTGCCAATGCCAATGCCGCTGCTGCCCACGAGGGCGTCATCGGTGGTGCGGAGGTTGGGTGGTACGAAGCTGAGGTTACGCAACCAGAGCCCCTTTAGATGACGCAGCTTGCGGTTCTGGGCGAGGAGGCGAGGGCGACGGGGCTCCGAGAGGGTCGACATGGCCTGAGCATCGTGGGGTGAGGAGGTCGCAAGGGCTCGACGGGGGGGGGGAGGCAATGGAGAGAGATGTGGTGAGATGGAGGTGTGTTTCGTCATTGGAGGTGCTTCAATTGGCTGTATCACTGTAAGGGGGACTCGTGATATGCAGATAGGCGATAGTACGGCACACTACATGTACAGACCGTTGTATCATGGACTCAACAGATGATAAATACAAGCAATAAGTAAAAGGACTCTCTAGAAATCATCGATCTGATTTTTTTTTATGGAGTGAACGACCTGGTTAGATTGACTTTCAAGACCATGCCAGGTCAACCAATTCGTATACATAATCACGGTCACCACTATAGACGTCATGGACATGAATGGACCAAGGACCTAGTTTATTAAAAAGAAAAACGAATATGTAAAACAGGAAATTTTTGTCGAGAAGAAGAAAAAGAAGAGAAGAAGAAAAGTACTTTGAAATCCTTTATCCACGTTATTACTTTTTGGTGTTTTTGTGTTGTTGTTGTTGTTTTTTTCAAACCACCCCCATTTCCCTTTGAAGAGAACCATTACCAACCTAGTATGGTTTGTGTCGCTGCTGTCGTTCCTTCATGTGCTGTGCCGCTTTGAAATCTGTGTGTTTTTTCTTTTCATTCAGACTGTCCTTTGATGCCTCTGGAGAGGAAAACAAGGAGAGTTGAGGAGGGAGGAAGGGAGAGAGAGAGAAGAGAGAAGAGAGAAGAGGGAGAAATAGCAGGGAGGGAATATCCTAGTTACGGACAAAAGTGTAGCATCCATCCTTGGGCTCGAGCTGGTCGTCGGAACAGGGCTCCGTCTCGGGGGCGACAAAGTAGCGGCAGTTATCTCCGGCCTCGTTGTTGTCAAACTCGATGGCGGCGCAGAGCTGGATGTTGGCAATGTCGCCAATGTGGGCGTTGGCAGAAAGGGTCAGGAGCGCGGACTCGGAGTGGCACAGGGCCAGACAGTGATTGGCATCCTTCGCATGGCAAGCCTTGGCCTGGTCGCGGTGAACCTTCTTGAAGCCCTTGGAGCAGACGGGCTGGTAGTGGGACAGGTACCACGGGTCGGCGTGCTTGGAGGGAGCGGGAGCGGGAGCGGGAGCGGGAGCGGGAGCGGGAGCGGGAGCAGGCGCAGGAGCGGGGGCCGGGGCTGGGGCCGGGGCAGGAGCGGGAGCGGGCTGGACGACGTTGTTGCCACCGTTTCCTCCGTTACCACCGTTTCCTCCATTGCCTCCATTGCCTCCATTGCCTCCATTGCCTCCGTTACCGCCATTGCCTCCGTTGCCTCCGTTGCCTCCGTTGCCTCCGTTGCCGCCGTTGCCTCCGTTTCCAGGTTGTCCAGGCTGTCCAGGGACGATGACGGTGGTGGGCTTCTCGTACTTGGGGCTGGTCAGGATGTCGAGGTTGATGAGGCTGTTGCCATCACCCTCGGGGCTGAGGACGTTGGCGTCGAGCACACCGCCGGGGCTGCGCTTGAGGATGTCGAGGCCGAGGAGCTTGCCGTCGTTGAGGAGGTCGAGGTTGAGCAGGCCGTCCTCGCCGCCGATGTCGAGGTCGAGCAGGCCGTCGGGGCCGAGGACGTCGAGGTTGACGAGGTCGGCGACGTTCAGGCTCAGGAGGGGGTCAACCTTGACGACGGAGTCGTCCTTGAGGGTGAGGCACTCGTCCTCGGGCAGCTCTCCGGTGGTGTGTAGGTAGCGCTCGAGCTCGTCCTCGGTCAGGAGGCCGAGGACGACGAGGACCTCCAGGTCGAGGGTGACCTGATCCTTCTTGCAGACGGCCTGATCGACCTGGAAGCACGAGTCGCACCGCTTCTCCTTCTGGTGGTAGGGGAGGGCCTTGGGTTGACGCTGGGGGGGCGTGGGCGTGACGCAGATCGTCTCGTCGGGCTTCTGCTCGATGGCGGCGTGCCTGTGAGGCTTGATGTTGATGCTCGGGCAGATGGACAGGTCCAGGACGGATAGGTCGATCAGGCACCCGAGGGCAGGGCCCTGCTCGAGAACGGACAGAGAGATGGTCATATCGGTGGTTTGTTTGGTGAATTAATGAGAGGGGGGAGGGTGGGCTTGTTAGTAGCCAGCGAAGGACGAATAGTTGGAGGCTGCGACGAAAAAAAAGAGTGAACGGGAACGAAAAAGAAGAAGAAAAGAGTGTGGCTGTGGGGAAGGCGAAGGAGTGAGAGACTGCTGTTGCTTGGTGGTGAGGAGAGGAAAAGAGATGTTGAAGCAGAGATGGGATGGACACATTATATACTCTCTAGACCATGATACTTTTTGCGTATTACGTTCTGCCATGCCCATCTCTCTCTTTCTCTCTCTCTCTCTCTCTCTCTCTCTCTTTTCTCTCCGGGCTTGCGCTTCTTTCCGCCTCTGCCATCATGACTTGTGAGACTTGTCAGGGTTCGGGTCTGCCGAGAGGCGGGCTGTCGCAGTTCAACTGATGGCGGAGGGAGGGAGATTTGCCAAGCAGGGTAATACGATGGCTTGCATCTTGCGCATCGGGATGCGGATACTCGTACTGCGTTGGTGTTGTATGCACGAGCAGCTCGCATGCGTACCTACGTATATGTAATAATAATACGCCGTACAAGTGTGCGTGTGTGTGTGTAATAATGGGCGAGGTGCCCCCTCCCCGAGACAAAAGTTGACTCGGATGGGCGGCAGCGACAGTTTTCCTGGGTCCCGACCGAGAGCCTTGACCTGGCGGTCGCCGTTCCAACGGGAGATCCGATATTGCTGTGGGAGAGGAAGAAGGTGATGGTCGAGTGTAGCGCCGGCTCATGCAAGGGGAGGGGAGAACAAGGAGGCTTGGAGTAGGTATATGTATCCACATCGTGTGGTGAGCCGTGAGGCAGGAAGAACAATGAGTGAGTCAAGACAATTAGAAGGCCAAGTTGAGAGGACAGTGCAGCTCGTGTTGTGTTTCTGGGGGAAGAGAGAGATGGAGAGAGAAGAGGGAGATTTACAAAGATGACAGGAAGCAAAAAGTAGACCAACCAAAGCGGCAGTAAACTGCCACACACATACGCACAATGCCGGGGGGGGGGGGGGGGGGGGAAGGTGTGGGGGGGATGTTTGTCTCTCTTTTTTTTTTGCCTCCTTCCTTTTTTTTTCTAATTGGTTCTCATATATTGTATGCTCTCTACTTGTGTGCCCTCTACTTGTATGCCCTCTACTTGTAGGCTCTCTACTTGTAGGCTCTCTATTGTAGGCTCTCTACTTGTATGATGACTGACAGTATACAAACAGTTGTAATCCCTTGATCCTCAGCTTCCATGTCCTCTCTCACTCCACCCCAAGATCTAGACCGAAGCGTCTCAACCTCTCTCTCATCTCCCGCGTTTCAGTCCCTCCAAATCCGGAGACGATGCCAGCAGCTTGTGCAGCGGACGGAAGACCTTCTCGTCGGGTTCCGATGCGCCCTTGAGAATCTGGAGATCGGACCACGACATCCATACCCACCCCTCACACTTGTTGGGCTCCATGGTCTGATCGTGGTGTTAGCTTAGGTTCTGGTCCAAGCCATAGATCCATGTATACGGAACTCGTAGAGTGATGTATCCGCAGAGGAACAGGAGGAAAGAAAAGAAATGTGTGTGTGTGTGTGTGTGTGTGTGTGTGTGAGAGAGAGAGAGAGAGCGCAAAAAGACAAAAAAAAAAAAGAAAGAAAAAAAAGTTACCTTTGCCAATGGGACCCTGTCCTTGTCCTTGGTCTCGCAGAGGATAAAGTACGTGTTGTAGTACTTTCCCCTGTCGACAAAGTCATCCTCTGTGCGGGCGACCTGACGCACGGCCGTGACCTCGAGGCCCGTCTCCTCTAGCACCTCGCGCTCCGCCGTCTGGTAATACGACTCTCCCGGATCTACGTGGCCGCCTGGGAGGGCCCACGATCCGGCACCGTGGCTGCCCTTTCGCTTTCCGACTAGCACCTTGCCGTCTTTGTTGATGATGATGGCCGCGACGCCGTCGAGGCGGGTGATCCCTTCCGGCATGGTGGTGGTAAGTCTGTCTTGCTCGGCAGGTTTGTCTAGTAGTTGGAGAGCTCTGATGGTTGTCTGGTAGGTTTGAGTCATCAGGTGAGTAGACGGTCGAGTTGAGATGGGTAGATGGGTTGATGGGAAGATGGTTCTGGGTAGGGGAGAGTAGGAAATAATATATATGTTCGATGGATCGATACGTTTGTTCGCCTGCTCGCTGTGATTGATGCACGTGGTGTACGGTGCAGGCACTTGGAAACTGCACATGACGTGTACCGATATGCGACCCATTTGAGCCTCGTACTCCGCCCAGTCAAGGCTGTATGCAGGACAATTTGTTGTATTGCGGATCTTGCTGGTCATTGTGCACCGTGGAGAGGATGAAGTGGAATATGATGAATAATCAAGACTTTTTTTCTTCTTTTTTTTCCCCCTCTCTCCTCTCTCTCCCTCTCTCTTCTTACTCGTCAACTGTAGACCTTTCCGACGGGCAGAGGGTCGATCTGGAAGAAAAGAAGAGAGAGAGAGAAGGGGGGGAGGGTGGAGGTGGATGGAGAATCAGAGGCAGTGCTGACATCTTGTGCAACTTGGCCATCACGTTCGGCCATAACAGCCTCATTTTGATGATGACGGCGACGGTGATGAGTCTATAGATCGCAGAGGCAGAGAGGCGCCTCTCTTGATGGATTATGCGCACATCATGCATGTCCTCCTATATATCGATATCTGAACGGTTCGGGTCGTGATGCCCTCTCATGTTGGCAGCGGCCTCTTGCCATCATCATATTGTCGTTGCAGACATCTTTACCACGTGTCCGTCAGAACTCCCTTTGCACAAGCTATCGAGGCTCGCTGTCATACTCTGCCCGTGTACGACCAGTTGGTTGTGCTAGATATTGGCAGGGTCACTTTGTTACGGAGAGGCCGTCATCGGGGGCAGCTCAGGAGACCATGTCCAGCTTGCAGTTGTCCCGTTGGGACATCTGGAAACCTAACATCGTATCGTCCGTCTCTGTGACGCCCCAGGGTTCCCGTATTAATCATTAATCCCTTCCCCAGTCGGGGCCGCATGTATCTGTAGTCATGAGCGCACAGCCCTGTGGACTAGGCCTACAATAATGGTCGGCTGTGTAGCAAGGTAGAGAGATGGATGTAGTCCCAGACACCCTCTCTGATCCTTCTCTCTCTCTCTCTTTCTCTCTCTCTCTTTCTCTCTCTCTCTTTCTCTCTCTCTCTTTCTCTCTCTCTCTTTCTCTCTCTCTCTTTCTCTCTCTCTCTTTGTGTGTGTGTGTGTGTGTGCGTGTGTGTTTGTGTGTATGTGTGTTTGTGTGTATGTGTGTATGTGTGTATTAAGTGTGTATATGTGTGTGTTGGTAATGCGCCCTATACTCTTCCATTTCCGTCATCTTCTTTTTTTTCTTCCCACACAAACTAAAAAGACACCAGACTCGGGGCAGACCCAAGGTAGAGAGAAGAAGAGAAAAAGTCCCCGAGACCCCCGAAGACCTTATAATCATGTCTCAACCTACAATGTCATTGTCAGGCATCCCTCGAGGCGTTACGCTGGGTTCTCCTTATTTTTTATTTTTTATTCTTTTTATGTTTTAACCCGGGCACTTAATCACTCGTACCCACCATCACTACTAGTGGCAATGACCAGCACAGCAAAGCAAACATTGTCCATCGTACGTGGAGGGAGGGAGAGGGGGCAGAGACACACCCCCCCCCCCCCCATCGCCACGATATCCGCTTGTACGGCATGTTATGGCTACATAACGTGCCTTGTAAGTGCCCAGGCCCCAAGGGTGGGAGGGGCAGAGTCAACGTCTCAGTTTGGCCACGATAAGAGGGCATCATTACTCGTCAGTCGTTACCGGGCTAGCTCCAAACCGGCTGTACTCGTAGCAAGGTTTTTTTTTTCTTCTTTTTTCTTTTTTCCCCTCTGTGGAGTACGGAATGTTGCATCGTACCATCTCGCGTGTTACATTGCATGTGTTCTGAAAGAGATTGATATTTGTTTTTTTCTTTTCTTTTTCTTTTTCACACCACAAGATACCTGTACTGTCATGGTCGTAGTACGATCTTACAAGGGGAGAATACGAAAAAAGAAAAAAAAGAAAAAAGTGGGGGAAAAAAGTGAACAGAGAGATATAAAGGAAGAAAAAATTTGTGTAGCTAAATAAATAAATAAAAACAATAACCCGAGAATAACAGATCAATCCTACTCAATCTGCGCACAGTCTTCGGGGCCATTCATGTCGCACCACAGCTGGGTGATGGGCGTCCCCCTGACGCCCCTCCTGAGCATACGCTCTCGCATCTCGCTAAGACGTGGGCGAGCATCTATCTGGGAGCGGTTCTGACCCTGGCCGTCGACGCGTCCGCTCCACCAGATCTCGGCGGCGGCGGCGGCGCGGGGCCACATGATGCTGTCGAGCGACGTCGTGTCGATCGTCTCGGTCCACAGCGCCATCTCTCCGCCCACGATGTTGCCGTGCAGCTCCTCGGGCACGCCGTCCGTCGGCTCGTGGCTGTAGATCAGTCGCCAGCTCTTGGAGGGAGAGCACCAGTCTGCAAAGGGGTAGTAGGTCTGGAAGCTGGCGCCGTTGGGGAAGTCGAGCCACTGGCCGCGACCGCAGTCGAGGTACTACAAGAGAGTATGTCAGTCACTGCGACATCTTTTTACAAAAGAGGAGGTGTGGAGGGGGGGAAAAAGAGAAGAGAAGAAGAAAGGAAGAAGAAAAAGAAAAAAAGCAGAAGCAAAAGGAAAAGAGAAAGGGAAAGAGAAAGAGAAAGACAGGTATCGTATGCTCTTCAAGACATACATAGTACTCGCTGTTGCTGTCGATGACCTTGTGGCCAGCCTCGGCAAGCTCGGTGACGGAAGAACCACCCAGCCACGACTGGACCAGCGTGCCGTCGGGCACGGTGGCATTCCACTCGAGCACCATCTCCTCCCAGACGAGCGGGGTGAGGCCGTTCTCCACCACGTTACCGTGGACGTGGGACAGGAAGCGCTGCAGCAGCGGCTGGAGGACCTCTACGTCGTTCGTCTCGAGGGCCGGGTCGAGCAGCGAGTTGTTGGCCTTGTACTCGTCGCCGCCGGTGTGGAAGTACGAGGTGTAGGGGGCGATGCGCGGGAGCAGGTCGGCCAAGAGGGTGTCGACGAAGCCCTCGACGTCGGTGTTGTTGAGGCGGAAGGATCCGCACGGCGGCTGGGCGCAGTACCACTGGTAGGGGTGCTCGTCGAAGGCGACGGTCAGGCCGGGGTAGGCCTCGTCGACGCCGACGTGGCCGGGCATGTCGAGCTCCAGGACGATCTGGACGCCCCGGTGGATGGCGTACTCGTACAGGCCCGCGACGTCGTCGGGCGAGTACGTCAGGCCCTTGGCGTAGGCGCCCTTCTCCGTCAGCCGGGGCAGGGAAGGTATCTCCAGGGGCCACGACTGCGTGTCCGTGACGTGCAGGTGCAGCACGTTCATCTTGTTCATGGCGGCGGCGTCGATGGTGCGCTTGATGTCGGCCACCTCGAACCAGTGGCGGCTCACGTCCAGGAGCACGCCGCGGTGCGGGTACTTGGGCTCGTCTACGATGGCGATGGGAGCCTCCTGCGTGTAGAAGGTCTGGCCGTCGGACCCCCTGTAGAAGAGCTGCGAGAAGGTCTCGAGGGCGCGCAGCACGCCCGTCGACGAGGCGGCCCGGATAGACGCCTCGCCGTCGGCCGTGACGTTGAGGCTGTACGACTCGTCCACCGTGCCGACCTTGGGCTTGAACGTGTCGGCGTCGTCGTCCGACGTCTGCGTGATGGTCAGGCTGCCGATGAGCTTGGAGTTGTCGCGTCCGTCCGCCGGCTCAAAGTCTGAGCCGCGCTCCCGGAGCATCCACGGCGTCAGCCCGTCCCGGAAGATGGCCGACAGGGTCCGCTCGATGCCGCCCTGCACTATGTCGCGGCTCCTGAACTTGGACCCGGCCGGCGGCGCGTAGCCTGCCGCGTAGGAAATCTGTTGTCGTTGGTCAAGGAATCTAGTCTCAGCCAGGTGCTCCAATCTGTCATATCTACGTCCATCTTCATCACAGAAGTATCTGCTGTCATTCTCGTCCTGATGGGGTATCCGCACTGCTTGTCCATTGTAGGTCACGGCCACGCTCTGGTCGAGGAAGAGGGTCTGGTTGCCCGTCGACAGGGACTTGGGGATCGGCCAGATCGAGGCATCGGCCGCGGGGGACAGGGCCAGGGCCGCAACGGCCAACAGGCTCTTGGATAGCATCTCTGCCAAGGAGAAGGGAGATTCGAAGAGGATGGCAGATGGGTATAATAACAGTAATAAGAGGGTGCTGCCCGACGACAAAGGAGAGTAGAGAGAGAGAGAGAGAGAGAGAGAGAGAGAGAGAGAAGAGAGAGGAGGATCGAGAATCCAAGAGGAACCTAGAAGAACCTGGAGGAACCTGGAGGGTGGTAATGTTTCCTCTCTTCTTCGACGTCGGGTTATCCGTAGCCCGCACAGGTAGGACCGTATCAATGGGTAAGACGAGGGCAACCAAGGTATCGGGTCCAGAAAAAAAATCACGAGATTGGGTTGGGGGGACGATGCCGACCAGGGGGGTACTAGACTAGGGGGGGGGCGGCCAGGTCCAGAGAGGAAAGAGGGTGAATCCTATCGCTTGGACCACTCTGAAGTAAATAGCATCGGATGATCAAAGGCGCGCGGGTGGTCGGTCCCCATGTAACCTTGACGAGTTGACGATGGAGGGGTGAGTGGGGGGAGGCAGGAGGACGGGCAAAAAGAGGAGCCAGCATGAGCTGCTGGCTTCTGTGGTTACCACGGCAGAGGAAAATGTGTCGAGACATTAGAGTTGGGATAATAATATTACTCCAGGATTTTTTTCCAAGACATGAGGCAAACAACCATGTAATGACAACACTGGTACAGATTACCTAGAGACAGTCAAGAGAGCTTGTTAGATCATTACTAGATGACTCGTAGTAGTAGGCTTAGTAGACGTTTCATTCATTACCGATCGGTACCTCTCTAATGGTTTTCAGCGCCAGAGCTTCTTCCATGGGGGAAACCTGACGTCGTGACCTGGAGATGGAGCGCCTTAACCGGGTCTTGGCAGCTCTTGGTCTTGCTCAGCAGTTGTCGGTCCTCCTCTGTGCTTTTTTTTTTTTGTGTGTGTGTGTGTGTCGTGGAAAGTCGGTCTCGAGGTTACGTTACAGCATATCATGATGATAGTGATAAGTCGATAGCAGCACGGTTCCTTATAGAGATCCTGTGTTACTACTACATGGACGGATTAGATAGTGTAGCCACATCACTGCACCGCACTGACTGCACTCCCCGATGAATCTCGTCTCTCAAAACAATTGAAGCTGGGACCGACCGCTCGACTTGGGACTCTCTGGTCGATGTCATCGTCAACTGATGATACCCCCCCTGGCCCTCCATGTATTACCGAGTGCATGGCCTTATACCCGTGCTCGTAAACAATCGATGGAGGATAGTGATAAATGACACTGGTAGATCCGTTCTTCGGCTCTCGCTTCCCGCATTCCCAAGATTTCGACGCCCGGTCCTCTCAGACCTCTCACCAGGCTGACAGGCTCCCCCTTCGAACCCCTTCTACAAGTCTAGGGCTTTTACGGCGTTAGTGCGCGTATGCGGTGGGGCTCATCAGTGGCCCCTGGTCCTGGGGACGTTGAGCTTATTAGTCATGATACGGCAGAATGATGTCGTGTGCGGTCAAGGGATAAGTAAATAGTAAGTAGGATGTTTTTATCGTCCGTCGAGTCTTACTTTCAACTTCTCCCGATATATTCGACGGAGCGAGATACAATTCTCCACCAGTAATCTGTACATTTTTATCATGAAATTATCACGAAATTATCACATCAGAGTTCAGGTGGTGGATGGAATACCTCATCATCTACGCTCAAGCTTTGATAATATGAAATGATGTAATGACCCATCTTGAGAGACATCAAGCATCATATACAGATTACACCATACGGGGTGCCAGTACTCGTAATATATTGCTCTGCAAGGTACAAGAGGACCAATTTAAGCAAATACGTCAATCGATACCCACAGAGCGTAGAGTAATACCGCCCTAGTTGGTGTCCCTCGCCGTATTCGTACTCTGCACTCCTTCCATTCTCTGACCCCCGGGTAGGAGAACCCTTGCATGATCCTGGCATAGTCATGACTTTGATCCCATTGCTGACCCTGCCATTTTTGAATTATATAATCTAAATACGTAATACTTGAAATACCGCAGCAGAGAACTCATAGAATCCTTCCCACTCGAGAAATACAGAAGCCGTCATTGACAGCTGTCAAGAAGGGGGGCCATCGTGTCCTCCAAGCATGAACTGCCACCTACACGGGAGACGAAGCAGGGGGCTCTGAACACTACCAAACTAACATCATTGCTATGCCGTGATCCATTCACGTACAATTTCGAAGAGACGAGCTGGAGCTGGTCACTAAGACAGCTTCGTCGAGCCCGGTGTAGCCCATCGCGTGAGAGAATTCTCCCGGGCTTCTTACGCGCCGGCATCTCTGTTGACGGGGACGGATCAAGAAGTCTCCGTCTGGTCTGGCTAGGCACTACACACAGTTGCATTGCGCCGTTGGGAATGTCAATCTAGTAGATCAGCACGGTCAGCTGGGCCGCGAAGCAGATGGGTTCAGGGTGTCGACGGTGTACCAACCTCATGTGGTCCGAGGAAGCGTGCCGACAGAACCCTCGACTCGGCGTCGGTGGCGGGGCTGTCGGCTCCCTTTCTTTCTTTCTTACCAAGGGTGTTTATATATTATTTTCTGATATCGGCTTCCCCTCCCCCTTGTCTCTCTCTTTGGCATTTACTTCCTGCCATGACAGGATGCAGAGATAAACATAACCAGACTCTTTCTTCACTCCTCGCGCTCCTTGGCCTCGGGACTCCTGCTCCGGCTGCGTCCGCGCCTCCCGCCACCCACACGGCTCCCTCTCGAACCCTTGTTCTGTCCAGGCGGCGGCCTCACAAAGGCAAAGTCCACATTGACGGTCTGATCCAGCATCTTTGTCCCGTGGGCATCGTCAATGGCCGCCCTGGCTTCTTCTAGTGTAGCGTACTCGATCAATGCGTAGCCCTAGAAAGCAAAAAAAAAAAAAAAAGGTAAGAGCGCGTCAGTCGAAATTATCCTTCTCTCTCTCTCTCTCTCTCTCTCTCTCTCTCTCTCTCTCTCTCTCTCTCTCTCTTTTACGTTTTCGTTTCCCCTTCTCTTCCCCGGGGGCGAGGTGATAGCTCTGCGCGCGCGCATACCTTGACGTAACCACTCCTTCGGTCGAGGTTGAGGTGCAGGTTCTTGATTTCGCCGTACTCGCCAAACTTGTCCTGTATGGCCTCCTCGTCTGCCTCCTCGTGCACGTTCGTCACGATGATGATCCAGCCTTCGATGGAGCGCACTGCCGTTGCGCGCGCGTGCGTCTGCATCTCCTTCTCGCCCTCGGTGCGGTTGCCGTTGCCGTTGCCTGACTCTACGGCGACCGGACCGTTGTCAATGTCCATCTCCGTGTCGGCCATGTCTGCGCTTCTTTTACTAGTATCGGGGCAAGGCGTCCTGGGTAAAGAAGTCGTCTGTTGTTGCAGGCGTGGATTGGCGGGTGGGGTTCGAAGCCTGGGGCTGCTTGCTGTCTGCCTGATGGTAGGAGCTCTACGAAGCTGCGTACATGCGGTCGCTGACAATCAAATTCTATACTGTCACGTGATTTACTTGGAGGGGAAACATGTAGGGAGCAGTCTGTGATTTTAGTTTATCCAATGCCGACCCCGCGGGGTGAAATGATGTCGGAAAGACTACTCTGGAAGAGCTACGATCTCGTACGATGCAGGGCCGAAAAAAAAAACCTATTTCAATATGCACAAATGGGAGTGGTGGTTGATAGCCAAAAGACATGAGGCGTTCAAGGTGGGAATCTCTGACCGTAAGCACGCACGCTACGGACGGCTGCCTCCCTCTCTTCGAACTGCGGATGAAAATGGATTGATGTATTGATTGACAAAGGGGACACCCTGACGCCTAATAAAGACATCGCCGCTTCGTCGTGCCTTCTCAGATCATGTGAGGCCGCTCAGCCTGGCTATTGACCCGGCCATAATCCACTGCCAAGTACTTTTTGACAGCATTTCCATCGAGTATTTTGCGTCCTTGCGACAATGCGAATAAATCCACGATCCTCCGTTTTGACCCCTCCCCAATCGATCCGTTTATTTCATTTTAGTGCTGGGCGAGTTGATTTAGGCAGCGCCGGGGTTGGGGTTCATCTGTTGCGTCATGTCAGCGAATTCCTGTTGTCTCTACTACTTCCAGGCGGCCAAAGAACGGGGTTTTGGACGTCCATCCATCCTCCGCCGCCCCTATCCTCGGGGGAAGAAGAACGAACCTTCCGCTTGCCACCAGTCAGGGTGACGTTGACGAAACGGCGAGTGTACTTGAGACGCTTGAGAGCGCGGCCCTTGGGGACCTTGGGCTTCTCCTGGGGCTCAACCTGCAATAACGAAGAATCATCTTGTCAGCTACAAACATCCTTCATCTCGGAGGCTCTGTCGTAATCGTCGTCGGTCGGCGCAGACGCGCAGCAAAGATGAAAAGAGTCGAGGGACGGGAAGAAAATGATGGTCGGATCGTCGTACCTTAGGGGTCTGAGACTTGACCTTGCCGGCACGGGCAAGAGAACCGTGAACCTTTCCCATGGTGATGGATTTGTGTGGTGTTGATGGTTTGTTTGAGAAGGGAAAGTCGACAAGACGGACGGATTGGTTGTGGCGGGCCTAGTCCAAGTTTTTTGGGGCAATTTGTCAGTGTCTGGTTGTGCGCACCACCTCGGTGTGACTCACGTGAGCGGGGAGTCATGGATGCCCTTTCTCGGAAAATTGTTAAACCGTACAGCGCAAGGCTGGACTTGTATTATCTCGTCATAAAGACTGTGAGTCAGCATGCCGCGGCCGCGCCTCAGCCCTAGTGCCTCAGGCTTCCAATTGTCTGCTAATAATAGACCTAGGGTAATAATATGCTACAGGTAGTATCAATGTTGATTATATAATAAAACACGATCAGCGGTGCGGCCTATGGGAGGGCAAGCGAACAAGACGAACAATGAACAGAACGGAAAATGACCCACTCTTTTGAACCGGTAGGATCAAGCTTACGAGCCCAATTCGTATTCACACGACAATGGTGTGGTGGGGAAGCGTTGTAAGTTCTCGTATGGTCGTACCATAGGCTGATAGCGCTATAAGTACTTGCAAGTTACGAATATTGAGCAGATGTAAATATAGATTCTGAGCCACGACAGGTAAGATTAGCAGGAACGTAGTATGGAGTGATATGATGGCGTAGAATGGCTATGCTGTTGTGTTTCAGAGAAGCGATCGATCACGATGCTATATCCAGAAGCCAAAAATACATGGAGTTGCTCTCGATGTCCATCGTCTAGCTTGGGGTGCACAGCGGGTGTGTCGGGGCGTTGCGCTCCCGACAGCTGATTGATGCATATACCTGGAGGCCTGGATACGTAGAAACTACTGCAGATGTGCATCGAATTCTGCAGAATACGATGCAATAGGCCAGAGGACAATGGGACGCCGGGGCCCGTCCTCGTATTTGCGAATGATGCGATGCAAGGGTTTACCACAGCTACTCGTACTGGTATACCGTATAATACATACCAGTAGTAGCCAAACTGTGCGGCAAGTAACGAGTGTAATACTGAACACGGGAGTAAGATGTTTGAAAAAAACAAGAGAATAGAAGAAACGAACAGACATATTTTCTTCTCAACCTTTCCCCCTCTCTCCTCACTCTCTGGACCATTTCACCTCATCTTGTCTGCCGGTACCGTCTGTGCCTTAGATGTATGCAATCAAGCCGACAAAGGTTGCCTGCCTACCCTGTGATTCTGGTTAATATTGACGACATCTTGTTTCCGTTTCTCCTTCCGCACGTCTGGTTTCTATTTTTACTTTATGGTTACTTCATGGGACCGTCAAGCCAGTCGTAGGGAATCGAGAAGATAAGAATTCTGGGGTGACATCCTGAAGCGTCACCGATCAATTGCGCTATCGACCAGCCACCCACCTCCTTCTTGTCTCACCACCAAATCATCGCCAGCATGGCCATTTCCAGGGCCAAAGAGCAGTTTGAGCGAGACAAGGTCAGCAAGTTCCAGCGCATGCTCGAACTGGAAAAGCAGCGCGCAGTAAGTCATCCCTATGATCCTCTCGCTCTCCTTCTCGGTCCTTCCAGCATCCCCTTTCTCTTGCTGTGCCACCCTTGCATTCAACCCGCTAACATGCCGTTGATCCTGCAGCTGGAACGCCTCAATGCAGATCCCACTAGTAGTAGCCCCCATACGAACCAGTCTCCAAACACTCTGGCAACCCACACTACGTCCCCAGCCTCCCCCGTCTCTCTTTCGTCGGACTCAAACCCCCCTCCATCTTATCTGCGAAGTCATCCGACTGTCTCACGACGCCCACTGCCCGTCGATTCACCGCTTGCCACGCCCAAGAACGATTTTCATCCTGGAAAGGCTCGACAAGGAGGAAGCCAGGAAGTAGAAGCAGCAGAAGCAGCAGAAGCCGTGGCAGCCAACAACTCCACCTGCGATGCGGCCTCGACCACCACTGCTCTAAGCCATCAGACACGATATGCTCACCAGCTCCCGCCCATCAGGACGGATATTGGCGCAGCTTCGCTAGCTGCAGAAATTACCGAGGCCTTTCCCACCTACCAGGAAGACGGCAGCATGGACGCGGCGGGCCGGCGCAGACAAAGCAGGCCCAGCTCGAGGCTGGTGCCGCCCCAACCGTCGCCCCAACCGTCTCCCGAACCGTCGCCTGCAGGTCAGCCCGACTCTGGCGTTGAACTCGACAGCTCAGTAGGACCTTCGCCAGTGGGAGGAGACGAGGCGCGCGGCCGTCGGCGCCGCCTAACTAAGCCACTGCCAACCGCTGTCGCTCAGAACCGATCGACGCAATCAGCTGACAGGTCGGAGCCTGCGCCCGCTTCTCCCACCACAAAGCCAGGAAAGTATTACCCTCCACAGTCCTACACCGGTTCCAAAAAGGCCCACGCAGAGTCCGAGTCACGGACACGTCAGCACCAGCAGCACCCACCCAGCGCTGGTGGCAAGGCCGGCGGCACCGCCCCAGGAGAAAGCGTGGATGCAGCTGCCGCCGACTCGTCGAGGCGTGGCCGATCCAGGTCTAGGTCTATATCTTCCCTGTTTCGACGCTCCCTCGACGGACGGCGCTCCTCTTTTGGCCTGGGCTCCTCCTCTCAGGATACAGGCTTCATCGGCGGCATCAAACTGGAAAAAGAACGCCTCGAGGCTCACGAGCGATCTCTTAGCGAGAGACCAATAGGCCCCGAGGCGGATATCCACCCTGCACTTCGCACCAACGACAACCAGAAAACACGCAGGCGCTCGCCCAGTCCGTTCAAGTTCTCGACGACACAACGCAACAGCGAGCCGAGAGATAGCCACTACCCGCCCATCGCCATCCGGAACCAGTCACAGAGCCAAGTCTTTGTTAATGCAGAGCGTCCGCGTTCGTCTTCTGGCAGCTCTATAAGCAGGTGGAAAGCCCGTGTGGGACTCTCCCCGTCCCCCTCCATGGACACCGTCTACGCTCCCAAGCCAACCCCCAAGCTCACCAAACCTCCGTCCATCCCACGAGAAGACAGGCCCAAGAAGAGCCACATCCCGACAAGAGCCCCCCCTTCAACTGCCACCAGCACCTCTGCTCTTCCTACCGGTACCCCGCCGTCTTCCTCTGCCAGCAATACTCGTGGCGCCACCTGGAAACATCTATCTGCACCGGTCATCAGCTCGTCCCTTGCACCGACTAGGATAGGCCCCCCCGCTAGTGTTTCCAGGAATGGACCTTACCCGATGAAGCCAGCGCTGGTCAACCGGAGCAGAGCCGGCTCGCCCCTGGTAGACAGGCCAGGCACGAGCATGTGCACGGAGCGTTCTCCAATGCCGGCCTCAGCCTTTGTCGTCGACCGGCCCAGGTGCGAAAGCCTCAACACGGACCTGGACATCACGGATACGGCTGAGGCTGGGGGCGACGACATGGCCGGCTCTGATAAGAGCGGCAGTGAAATCTCGTACATGACAGCGCCCTCAACGCCGCCGCCGCCTCCTCGACGTAGCTCGAAGAGGAGATCGGCAGCGTATGTTTACGAAGGAGCGAGGGAACAAAGCAAGAATCAGGCTCGCGCAAACGGTAAAGAACAGGACCACCCCGGGCATGCGGCCAAGGACACCTTGCCAGCATCACCCACCGTCATGCTCCTCCACCACCACTCGAAGCCTACAACAGCTGCTGACCGGCGAGACTCTCCCCAGTCCGCGTCAACTGCTAGGAAAAGAGGACCCAACGACCCTCCCAGCATCCCGTACGACTCTCTACCTGCGGAGTCGCCGATAAAAGCCCATTCCAGGAGATCCCTGGTGGGGGCTGCCAAGGCTGCCTTTCGACTATCCATGCCCGACCTCAGCACCATCACAGCCCGTTCCCGGACCCCAAGCCGCGATGCTAGGCGCTCATGTTCACCTGCGCCATCGCCGGATATCCCGAGCGTCCCCGGCGGCTCAGGTAAACCGGCCAAGCTCCTAGGCCTGAACAGCTGGGACCTGGCACCGCCCCCTCCGCTGCTCATATCACCCGCCCGATCGTCCTCGGAGGATACATGCTCAGACGACCTCCGATCCACAACGCTATCCAGGCCGAGCAGCACACCCAACACCTCACGGCCCCAGTCTATCAGAGGTTCTCCTGGACTTCTCGGGGCTGAGTATAAATGGCAGCAGCACCATTCTGGATACACGTCTGCACTTCCTTCCCCAGCCTTCTCGTGCGCAGACGGCAGCCTTCGTCTCAGCGCGCCGCCTCCGATGGACCTCGACCCTATCCAGGCCGCCGCCCTCAAGATAATGGCACAGTTCCCCGACGTGCCCTACAGCGTCCATAGCAACCGGTCGGAGCCTAGCCTTCGTACGCACCGAAGCAAGTCGTCACTCGCCGCGGAGAACCTTCAACAACGGACTGCGCCCCTGCAGAATCCAGGCTTGGAAGTCCCCAAGCCTCTACGTCTGCCGGTACGACCTACCTCTGCTGCCGCTTCCACACCCAGCGTCGGCGACATGGTCAAGGCGAGCCGCGGCAAAGATGATGATTACGACGACAGCCAAGAGACTCTCAGCAAGGTGTTTGTGGAGTGCTGCAGCTGCAAGCACTACCACGATATGCCCGACGAGCTGTACGATGCCATGATCAATTCTAGAGGTGGGGTCGTGTCTACAGAGTTTTCCGCAGCGGCCAGGTGCAATTGGTGCAGACATGTCATGAAGACTCGGTGCTGTGCTAGACTGTCGACACTGGTTCAGGTCAAGGAGAGGGTTCACTGATGATATGTTTGACTGTATCTGTCCTACGTCCACTTTTCATCCTACTACTTTGTCATATGATATATCTCTTTTCTCTCTTTTCTTTTCTTTTGTTCAAGGTGATAGCAACGCCGATGACTTTTTAGCACAGCCACAAATTATAATTAATCCTCGCCGTTGATCCATACCCGCATCCTGCTCCGTTCTCGTGCAATTCCATCACAGCGGTACAGGCGCATGCAATGTGCAGATCCGATACCGGACACCGTTCTACCGAAGACACGTCCTCCCGCTTTCGCACGGCACCGTGCTCGTCCGACTGATGTAGTTGACCTTCCGTCGAGGCGTCCTGCCATTCCCCTCGAGTAGACGGGCGTAGATCAAGTAGGCGGGCCACAAGCCGCCGTCGCCGATGGCACGGTCCAGTTCGCTCCGGGCAAACACGATGTCGGTCGACTTGGGGATGACGCCTTCGACGGAAGAACAATGGAGGCCTGACGGGAGGAAAAGGTGTGCCATCAGCGGGTCTCTTCCTCTTATGTGGTACACGTGTGAGGAATATGGTGGAGCAGGAAAGGGAAGAAGAGGGGGAGAGAAGAAGGGAGAGAGAAAGGAGAGGAGAGAGAGAAAGAAAAAAAAGGAAGGCTCACAAAAGTCATGTCTCAAGGAGAGGAACACGTACATGGTGTCTAGAACATCCCGGCAGTCAAAGAGGTCACCTTGAAGACAGAGAACGGTGGACCGAATAATCTCCCCGAGTTCGATGGTGAAGCGGGTCTCATCGGGGCAGCAGATCTTGAGGATGCCCAGGATCTTTTCAAGGGTGTAAAGACACTTCTTCCGGGAACCGTGGGGGGTATAGTCTCTGATGCGGTCGATAGTGATGGGCGTGTCTGAGGAAGGCATCGTGAAGACAGATGGATATGATGGTGATGACTTCAAACTTCAGATAATCCCGGGCAGGACTGCAGAGCACGACGAAGGAGATGTTCAATTGATGAGAGGTAATGGGGAATGGAGAACCTTCCTGTTCTCGCGGTTTTATACTAGATAAATATGACTGTCCCCAACAACCTTTCTCCGTACAGACGTATTCAGTCGACATGGTTGATTCTCGAGATGACTGTAAGTACTACCAATCGTCTTGAATCACAATCCATCCATAACGGCCAAGGGTTTCCCTTTACACTTATTACTCTTACCCTCACCACCACCTATCTGTCCCTTTCCCATTCTGTGATCCAGTGCCGATGTCAAGATCTGGTATCCTTGACGCAGACTCCGAGTTT